ATAGGCACTGAATAACTAGTACATAATGGCATTCCAAACAATATGCTTGATTCTGAGATGTAAAAAAAAAAAATTAAGCATATTTATTTTTTCCATGAGTGATAATGACACAGAGAGTAAGAGAAACAGACAGCCGCCGCACCACAACAAGCTGTTTCCAGGTTAGGACCACAGGCACGTGCCACTGTAGCCAGCCTGTGTGAGTTGAGCTAGAGCCTGAGCCCAGGTCTCCCAGGAGGCATCAGCCATCATGCAGTGGCTCCTTCCCTCTTGCACCACCACAGCTGGTCCACCAAACCATTTTTATAATTAGAAGATTTAACTTAATCCTGTAGCAATTCATAATATTTTTTATAATTGATGATAATAACCTGAAGCCAAAAGGAAAAATAAGAATGGGAATTTCTTTTTTTTCTTTCCCTGGTAAAGATGCTAAGACCTCAGACCAGGTGTGATAAAGGAGGCTGAATCCTATATGGGCACCTGTGAAGTTGTGCCTAAAATCCCTAGAGTAGAATAGAGGAGAAAGGACTGTGATGTAGTCATCCCCTCTGGGGGAGTGCTTTCTCTTCCATGTCCCCAGCCCCCTACCCCTCTCTCTCTCTCCAGTAAGCACATGTGTCCTATAGCAAATTAAGAACAAAATAATAATAATAAAATAAAGATACCAAGACCCAATTTAACTTATGTATTAAACAGACAACAGCTGAAATCAGTATCTATATGTAATGGAGCCGTAGATTTTGAAAAACTGCATAGCCCATTACCTACTATTGTTCACAGTATGTTTAAAGATATAACAAATTGGGAACCATCAGTTAGCGTAATGGCTATGTCGCTGGACTCCCACGTAGTCGACTGCGGTTCGCGTCCTGGACCCAGTGGCTTAAAACTCACGCCAGGCGCGTGTGCGTGCGTGCCCAAGATCCCGAGAGGAGAATGGAGGAGAAGGGATTGCGGTGTGACCATCCCCCCTGGGGGGTGATTTCTCGCTTTCTGTCTGTCTCTCTATCTCTCTCTGTCTGGCAAGTGCACACTCCTTATAGCAAAAACCTCTCCCCCCAAAAAAAGGAAGAAGAAAGAAAATCTCTCTTTCTCTACTTATGCTCTCTCCGTCTAATAAATAAAATAAAGATGTAGGCCTAATCTTGTTTTCAACAAGATACCTCAAATTTCTTATGATAACTTCATAACTGATACAACCATTTCAGCCAAATAATTGTTGCTGTGTGGGTCAACCTACACTTGGAGGAAGATAGTAATGGTACTCTTGGATCATATAAAATCTCTGTCTGGCGAGCGCACACGCCCTATAGCAAAAACCTCTCCAACAACAACAACAACAACAAAATATATATATATAAACAAGTTCATTGCATTTGTAATTTACAAAAATATACCACATTCTTTCACATCTTTGTGTATATGTCTGTGTGTGTTTTCTTCCATCTGGAATGACCTTTCCTTTATCGGGCTGGCCCTCTGGCCTAGCAGTTAAGGGAGCTGGATCCTACATGGCAGATTACGTGGTTCTAATTTCACCCCTCATGGCTTGAAAAACACACCAGGAACTTGTGTCTGTGCCCGATATCCTGACAGGGTGGAGACAGTGAGAGGGAAAGCGAGAAATCACCCCCCAGAGGGATGGCCATGCCACAGTCTTCTCCATTCTTCCAGGATCTTGGGCATACATGCACACACGCCCAGCACTCGGGACTTAAATTGCGATCGACCATGTGAGAGTTCAGGGATGTAACTGCTACACCATCTGCTGGCCTGATTAACAGAAGCAACCAAAGTCATTGTCTTTTATTCTCTATCTTCGTTTGCATAGTAGGCTGCCTGCCATAAATGGGTATATCATAAATATTGGCAGGACCAGACGGGGACATAGCAGTGAACCAGTTCATGTCCAGAGATCTCCCTTTGTACACCAGACACACACATGCCCATGATCTGGGTTGGCTGAGGCTGAGAGTGAGTTGTGGTATCAATATACTGAGGGATATCCTGTCTCTCTCTTTCTCTGTATGTGTCTCACTCATGGAATAAATAAATACAAATTTTATTGTACTTTTTTATTATTTTTGTTTAATTAATTTTAAATCTGCTACAGGGCACATGCACTTAGGAGAGAAAGGAGAGAGAAAGTAAGTCACCAGGTGCAGGACTTGAACCATGGTTAGCCTTGTGGGAGTCCAGCGCCTTAACTATCATGCCACCTGCTGAGCCCTATTTTATTTTTTAATTTGCAATAGGGTGCATGTGTTCACCAGAGAGAGAGAGGGAAAGAAAGTGGGAAAGCACCCCTCAGGGAGGATGGTTATGCTGCAGTCCTTTCTGTTTCATTCTATTAGGATTTTAGGCATCGGGTTTGGGGCATGCACATAGGCTTGGCATGTTTTTCAAGCCATTAGGGCTGGGACTGGAACCACACAGTTGGCCATGATGGATCCAGTTGCCTTAACCTTAACCACTGTGCCACCAGGCTGGCCCAATAAAATTTTTAAACAAAATAACACATATTTGCTAAATAAGTGAGCAAATAACAAGTCCTCTTTTTTTTTTCTTTTTTTCTTTTTTTTGGAGAGGTTTTCGCTATAGGGTGCATGTGCTCACCAGACAGACAGAGAGGGACATAGAGACAGAAAGCGAGAAATCACTCCCCAGAGGGGATGGTCACGCCGCAATCCTTTTTCCTCCATTCTCCTCTCAGGATCTTGGGCAAGCACGCATACGCGCCCAGTGTGAGTTTTAAGCCACTGGGTCCGGGACGCAAACCGTGGTCGACTACTGGTTCCCTCTCTCTTTTTTTTTTTTTCCAGAGATGTTGCTATGTGGTGCATACACTTGCTGAAGAGAGAGAGAGAGAGACAAAGTGAGAAATCACCCTCTGGGAGGATGGAAACACTGTAACCCTTCTCCATTCTCCTGGAATTTTGGTCATGCTCATACACGCACAAGGCCTGAGTTTCAAGCTGCTGGGTCTGGGACTCAAACCATTGTTGCCCAGTCAGGAGTCCAACACCTTAACCACTATACCACCTGTGGATCCCAATAAGTCCTAGCAGTTGTACCAGCCTAGCAGTACAAACTAACATCCCCCCAAGTTCTAAACCAACTTGAAACAACAAAGTGGGAAATTAGTGATTAAAATCTTCCTGAATTCACGTTTCTCCAATAGTTCCTGTGTTCCTTTGTCTGGATAAATACACTCAGTCGATAAATGAGATCATGAAAGCCTTTTGAAACTTTTAGAGTACATGTACCAAATACAGCTAGAAAGCACTGCAGCATTTTCCATCTTGTATTCTGCTTTTTTTTTTTTTTACTTTATTTATTTATTTAAATTTGACCAGAGAGAGATAGAAAGAGGGAAAGTGAGAAAGCAAGCCGCCAGGCCCGAGACTT